AGCTAAGGTGTCGAATAGAGAGATTAAATCTATTTTGGAGAAAATAGTGAATCCCAATTATAAAGATTGGAGTGATAGACTTAATGATGCTCTTTGGGGATATAGAACAACTTTTAAGACACCAATTGGCATGTCCCCCTATCATTTTGTTTATGAGAAGTCTTGTCTTCTTTCAATGAAAATTGAATAAAAGGCTTTTTAGGCAATCAAACAATGTAATATGAGAATGGATGAGGTAAGTGAGCAAAGAAAATTGTAACTACGTAAATTGGAAGAACTAAGGCTTGATTCGTATGAGAATACAAATATTTACAAGGGGAAACAAAGATATTTCGTAATAATATAATTTCTAGGAAGACTTTTATTATATGACAAAAAGTTCTCCTTTACCATTCTAGACTTAAGCTTTTTCTAGGTAAGTTACGTTCTTCTTGGATTGGACCTTTGTTATTACTAGTGTATTTCCTCATGAGGCAGTTGAAATTCAAAGTTTGAAAACCAATAAGGTGTTCAACATGAATAGCCATAGATTGAAACCTTTCTATAAAGGATTGCAAGTGTAAAGAGAGGAAGTGATTACACTAGAGGATCATAGTTATGTAGACCGAACAATACCTATATCGAGCTAATGACATTAAACAAATACGCTTATTAAGAGGCAACCCAATGACTTTATTTAAATTTTGATTTTTTCATTTTGTTAATATTTCCCTATATAGTTGACTTGATGTTTAGACTTGTTGCAGCATAAGTGCAATGAGGCATTGTAAAAGGAGAAGAGAAGGGAGGCAACACGGGCAGAAAAGGAAGGCACGCCCGTATCCGTGTGCCTTGTGTTTTAAAATTTCTAAAATAAAAGAAAGAAGACACGAGCGAAGGCACGGACACAAGTTCACCTTTAGAAAAGGCACACTCGTGTGTCCCCATACCGTATTGCACCTCAAAGATAGAAAAGAAAATGAAACACGAGCGTAAACATGACATGTGATTTATGCACGAATCCAAGCACCTTCGTGCGTTCCATGCTTGGCACTTCCAATTTTAGATTTTCTTTTTTCCCCTATCTCTTTGCACTTTATATGTCTATGACCAATTTGATGTCTTACATTAGGGACAATATAAGATTTAAGTGTGAGGGAAAGGATTTGGAATGTTGGTTGGGATTGTTTTAATTTTTGTGTTTTATTTTTTGGTTATATATATATATATATATATATATATATATATATATAAAGAATGTCATGAATAGTATGATATCCATCTTACTTGATTATTGATTTAGAATTTTAATAAGATCTTATGAGAAATTTGAGATTGTTTTAAATGTTATTATGATGAAAGTGCATACAACCTAGAAAAATTTATGTCTTTTTGATTAAGTATGATTTTTGAATTAACATTTGTTTTGAAATCACCTTTTAAAACTAGGCCTAAGCATGGTTTAAGTAAAATGAGATTTTCTAGTTAATGATTGAACTTTGAGAAAGAAAAGACAGACATTCCAAATTAAAATTTTGGCCTTATTAAGTGAATTGTTAATTTGCTCCAATGTTTTGAGTGGTTTAGTAACTAGGGATATTCATCACCAATGTTCACTTTTATATCAAACGACAGACTTGAATCATGAGTATGCAAAGTACTCTAAGTTTATGACTTGCTGAATAACTCGGTTGCTTTCATCACAAATGCTAGTAGTCATGTAAAAACGCAAGTGATTACTTAGGGAAGAATTGTTAGGGGCCTTGAAGAAAAATTAGAATGCTGAAAAAATTAAGTAAAACATTATATCACATCTTTATTCTCTTTATATTTAGTTTATTTGCTATTTTTTATATGTTATTATGATAATCTATGCTCATATTCATGTGAAAGATATAAATTAGGATTTTAGAACAACTCGTTCTTAAAAGTTTGAGAATTCGAGCATGATTAACTTAGACCTTCTATAATCCTTATAGGTTTTTCACGACTCTTAAAATTTGATTTGGAAGAAGTGGTCTTCCGAGACTTTGTAGAGACCATCCCAAACTTTTTAGAATGATATAGTGGGTCCAAATATGAGTTTTTTTAGGCCTCCAAACCATATTTCATATTCTAGTCTAGAAAGTTAATCCAAATCCTATTCGAAATCCAGACCAATTGAGGAGTTTAATCCATAATAGAGTTTTAAAACTCCAATTAATGCAAGGATAAGAACATAGAATACTTGAGAGGCATAAATATAATTATTATGAGTTTTTGAGTCCAAACTAGGTCAGTTTCATGGATGAATTCAGCTACAAAGTGGAATCCTAAAGCTAGGTGGATAGATTGAGTAGGTGGTAGTATTTAGCTCATAACTAAAGTTATAGATCTTCAATTGATGTAAGACTTAATGCGTTGGAAATACAAGAAATAGAGATACAAATCATATGAAGAAATAAAACCGTAATTAGGTGCGTCTCAAGTCCGTTCAAGCTGGTTATTAAAGATCCATAAGCTTAATTAGCTAGGGACATGAGATGAAGTAACAAAGACATGAAGCAACAAAAGCAAGTCGTATGTCACAACAAACAAATCATGTGTCCTTGTGAGGCTACTATGTGTGTGATGTAATTCTAATGTTAGCTAAAAATAGAGAAGTTAAGGTTTTAGTATATGGATTCCCCATGCTTGTAGCTAGGAATTCCAATACCGACCATTTATCTCTCCAAAGTGATATTTTGCCTGCCCTTACTTTCCAAATTGAGTGATCGTACAGGTTACAAATATGAGGGAGTAGAGAGTTTTCCATATTAACGATCCCTTGTGTCTGGTAGCCGGAGTTAACATGGAAATCTCACCATACTTGGCCCTCATAAAACAACCCCATAGAGACGAACTTGTTAGAAATGCCCAGGCCAATTTATCTTTCATCACTCCCATCACCTCCTTAAGATTCCTAATGCCCAGTCCTCCCTCCTGAATCAGTAGTGAAGGTGCCTTCTAATTAAGCCAGTGATGTCTATTATCTCTACCGTTGCTCCAAAAGAAATTGGAGTTATGGCCTTGCATTCTGGATATCATTGTCTTTGGAATTTGTAGAACCCCCATTGTGTATATGGGAATAGAGGATAGCACACTTTGAATTAGAGTTAATTTTTCTCTAGCAAAGTTAATTTTTCTCTAGCAAACAGAAGTCTCAATTTCCATCCTGCAAACTTGTCTTTGAGTTTAACTTCCAGCTTTGCAAAATAATGAACTCGTGCTCTCCTCTTAAACAAAAGCATTTCCAAGTATGTCGTCACCTCAGTTGCCATTGAAAATCCAGTCCATGTGGAGATGAGTTCTTTCCTGTTCGCTGATATTCTATTGCTGCATCGAAAGTAACTTTTCCTTCATTGATAGTCTGTCCACTTGCAGTTGCATAATCTTGAGCCAGCGCCAGCAACCTATCAATACTCCTCTTCCCCCTATTGATGAATATGAACATGTCATCCGCAAATAACAAAAGATAGATAACTATGTTGTTTCTCTCAATATAAGAAGGCGTGATATTTCCTACTGAAATCAACAAGTTTAAATGCTTGGAAAAAACATCTTGAGCTAAGATGAACAATGCTGAGGACGGTGGATCTCCTTGCCTTACATCATGGAATGATTTAAAGAAACCAAATGAGGAGGAGTTAAGGAAAACTGAATACCAGTAGTTGGATATACATTTAAATATCAACTCTCGCGAGTTTGAGGAAACACCAAACCTTTCCAATACCGGAAGGAGGAATGACCATTCTAATCTATCATAAGCTTTGGACATATCAATCTTCAATATAGTATTCCCCCCATGTATCTTGCTCTCAATATCATTGAATAATTCTTGATCTAATGCCACATTTTCATGGATCAATCTTCCCTTGACAAAGCCAGTTTGTTCCCTGGAGATTAAATCTAGCAGAACTGCACTCAATCTGTTTGTAATGATTTTGGACAGTATCTTGCAAGTACCGTTGCATAGGCTAATTGGTCGAAAATCCTCAAATCTTGAAGGGTTCGGGCATTTAGGCGGAGGGACTAGATTCGTGGATGTGGCGGCTTTCGATATTTCTCTCCCTTTAAATACGTCCTGGATAGCAAGCACAACATCTATCTTTATAATGTTCCAGCATGATTTATAAAAGGTGCCTATGAAGCTGTCTGGACCTAGAGCACTTCCTTCCTCCATGTCAAACACCACAACTTTTATCTCTTTTTCCAAAGGAAGTGCCATGAGTTCTTCGTTCTGTTTATTGGAGACTAAAGGAGGCACAACATTAAGGAAATTCTTCTCCATTAATGTTGCTCCACTTTTGAATGCATTTTGGAAATAAGCACCAGCTGCATTGCCCATCTGGATATCATTAATATAGTGTGAACCATCCTGCTGCTTAATTGTGATTTTAGCACTTTTGTTACGTTTGCGAATAAACATATGAAAGAATACAGAGTTCCTGTCTCCTGTTCTCTGCCATTTAACCCTTGCTTTTTCTTGTAACAACATTTCCTCTTGTTCAAAAAACAACCTTCAACTAGCAAAAATATCTATAACAAATCTTTTGCAATCATCATCAAGTAACACTCAAATATTTCAGATTTGAAATTAGACATAATGTATGCAAAATATTAAATATTGTTTATCCAGAGTAAATGTAGCCATTATATCATTTACTGTGCATCATTAATTCCTCTTCACTGCTTTGAAATAATATGAGTTTATTAAAAAAGTAAAAAGGCAGGTAAGACAAAGAAGGCCATTGATATGAGTTATGTTAGGAGAAACTGTCATGAACAAAGATCTTGTAGCAAATCAAAGTAAAGTTTTTTCCTGAGTTTAGATTTCAATAAAGATGTGCGTCCAAAGAAAAAATCACAAAGATCCGTCAATTTCTCAAATACCCCCAATCTCATACCTCTCAAGGAAAATCCAGTTTTTTTTCTTTTGCTTTTTTTAAGAGAGATCCAGCTGAACCAAAATGTAGCTGTCACTAGAAATGTGGCTGAAAAAAATGGTTGAGGAAGTTCAGGATGTTGTTCGTAAGGACAAGGAAGAGCTCAATCCTATTAGGATTGTTCATTTAGGGGTTTTTGTTTGGATGAATAATTTTAAGATTCTTGATTTGGGATTTACGAGAAAGGGAGAGGTGAAGAACGGAAATGGTTGGCTCAAATAATAAATGTGAAATATATATATATATATATATATATATATATATATGGCCATTTGATGCCAGCATATGGGGGGAAAGAGCAGATTTATTACTTTTAATTGTCTTTTATTTTTCAATTTTTGAAAATCTTTAATAAATAACCAAAAAAATACTTCAACACTTTTTTTTATGTGAAATCATAAACAATGGCAAAGGTGAGTTTCTATTGTTTTTATTCTTTTTTTAGTTTATTTATGTTTTTCATTTCAATTAAATACAAATCGTATATGCGGCATTATCTCAATTTTTTATTTGGATCAATTAACATCATTTGGTCAACTTAAATGAAATAACTGACAGAAGTGGACAGAGGGTTTATATTATACCAAATTTGCTAGTATAAGGATTGATATGATCCAACATTAGATGGTAGGGTCAGTATGATCAGAAACTTAAAGTAGAGGGGTGTACCCGTGACTTTCACCCAATCAAGTAGTAGCACGTACTTTTTTTTATATATATATAAACGAGAAAAAGAAAGGTCTTCCTTGAGGACTGCTTTTGTGCTATCATAAATTTTTCCTTCGGGGCCTGAAAATGCTTTGAAGTGAACCATAAATCATGTGCACAACGCTGCATCCTTGAACAAAGATAAATCTCAAACGAACAAAACAAAGAACATAAATTAAAATCATGGAAATTGAAACAAGATAACTTTGGCAAGAACTATGTTTTACGGAATATATGACCCATGCACCTTTATTTCAATTTGAACAATGTGGCATAACAAAATAAGAACAAAATTGTGCAGAATTTCTACTAAACTAATACACATGAGATCAATGCCGCATTCACCAATTTACATTTAGGTTTGAAGCACATCAATGCCCTCCGAATGTATGAGAAGATAATAAGTGTTTCACCTTAATATTTTTGTCAACTTCAAGTAGGAGAAACAAAACATATCAGTTTTTTTTTTCCCACATTATTTACAAAACAATATACCCTAGGCACCAACAATGAAAATTTAACTGATCCATAGTTTGAACAGCCAAATTGAAGACCACCAGCCATGGGCGTAATACTCAAAAGCTTACAGAAAATATCAATCAACTTGTGAGGAACGTGCTCACCATAAATGGCTGCAACGCAATAAGTCAATACCATCCATCATACTTCCCTGCATCCTTCACACAGCCATAACTGTAAAAGACACCACATTTTGCCCTCCCTTCACTAGCAGGTCCATGTTCCAATCAGCCACAAATGTAATAGCAACGACAGACAGCGTAACTGACCAGAAATAGTAGAAAGGAGATGGAGAAGATAATTAAGACAATACCAAAGAGCTTGTAGCCCGGTGGTAGTGGTCTCTTATAACAAGAGGTCAAACGTTTAAATCCTAACAGACTAGTTCTACCAAGAGCCTTGAGTCTGTGAATTAAAAAAATAAAAAAATAAAAATAAGACAATAGGTTGCAAAATTCTCATGTTAAAATTACTGATGGAGAGACAAACTACACATTCACTTTTGATATCGTTTCATATCTTCAGATTACTTCAAGTGGAAATGAAGAAGAGGACTAGTTATAATAAGTTTACCCACATAAAAACGTTGGTGTTCTGGCATTCTCGACAAGCAGATGCATGGCATGATTGAAATGTGAATACAACTAATCAAAGGATGCATGTATCTCATAGACAGTGAATCCTCTCTATTTACAATTCATAGCTGCATATCAGTCAGAAACAGGAAAAGCATTCTTGAGATTCAGCTGAAAGAGAGAAACAGCAAACCTTAAGAAATTTTTCCTTTGATACTTTATGATCGTGAAAAGGTTAGGCAAGAATTTGATCAGAGAAGCAAATTCTTGCATTCACCTCTCCATCAACATTCAAATTATTAAGTGGCTAAAGCACCCAGCAGTTCCTTTTACATAACTAGGAAAGGTGCATTGTATACCTGAAAGCAGAAAGAAACAACTCACAAAAGAACTAATACCATAAGCGCAAACACAATGCAAGAAACATTTTCATAGACATGGTGGATGTACTAGTAAGTCCTCAGCCACATGGTTAAGATGCTTGACCATCTCTTCAAAGCAAGACTTCAAAGGATTAGAAGAGCGGTGAATGCACTCAGTTAAAGAAACTGTAGGTGCAAGTGAATTTACAGTAATCATGAATGCAACATTTGAAATTCGATATATTTCCTGTTAATCAACTCTCAATTTTCTTTTTTTGTCATTATCTGCTATTCTTAATATATAGGCCTACCATATTTGGCAAATCAAGCTTATGTGATCCCATATCAGAAGCTAGCTCGCAGTCATTCATACTTGAAACCCCAAAAATCTAACATGCTCCCAATTTCAAAACTCAAGACAGCTCCCAATTATCCCCTTCCTAAGTACAACCCTCGGTTTTCAAGGATGATATTTACTCCTTTTAGTCAGTCAAAGGCATCCACCGAAATGTACTAAACTGCATTTCTAGAACAACAAGAACACTGACCAACATACTTGGATGGCATGCAAGTTACAAGGTCTTAACACTTCCAGCAAATAGCAACTGCTTAAAAACCTGACATTTTACAGATAAAAGGCCAGTGATCTGCTGCAGATAACCTACCGTAGCAAACTGAAATTACTCTAAAATTAGATCTCGGGGAAAAACACAGACAAATAGTCTGGAAAACTCGAAACACAAATATCATTAATGGAGAAGGAATCAGTTAGCAGATAATTGGTTTAGTCATGTAGACATATCATAGAAGCTCGGCACAACACGAATATATGCTGCACCAGGAGAACTTCTAGATATGACAAACTATCATAAGTACCTGCTTTATTCATCAGTTTCCAATCTCCCCATTTCTTTATCTTTCAATTCAAGAAAAACCCACAAACATACTAAGCCAATTTCTATCTCAAAATCAAGTTCTTCAACATTTACAATACATACATATATAATTAGGTAGCAAGCAACAATAAAAAGAAAAGAGAAAAAAGAAAAGGAGACTCAGATGAGTAAGGCAAACATCAAATGCTGATACAACCAAGTAACGACCACCTGCAGCATTAAGCTGGGAAGTCAGTAATTTGGCGTTGATTAGGATCAGCGACATTAATTATTTCCTCATGGTCTCTTATTAAACTTTTGATCTAATAACAAAAACTGTTCAGAAAGTAGTATACTTTAATATATGAAACCTTGTTTTGAAGAAAATTAAATTTTGGGTTAGAGTAAAAGCAATTTGGGAGATTTAAATAAGTGAACTCCGGAAAAATCTAAAATATTAGTGACAACTGACAAGAGAGAGAAGTTATTGAAGAAAGGAGGAGGAGGAGGAGGAGGCCGACAGTGAAATAGAGTACCTGAATTAGGGTTTTTAATTTGATTTAGGAGTGACCGTTTCAAAAACGACGATGTTGGCTTAAAAGTTGTGCTTTTATTTATGGTTAAAAGGGTGACCATGCTGAAATTTAAATTATTTGAGATATTTTTATTGATTTTGAAGATTTTTAAATTTTAAATTTTTTCATATTTAGCTCATCTTTTAGTTTTTTAACATTCATATAAAAAAATGATTATCTATATAATTTTATGATAAAAGTCATTTAATAAAATTTATGTGAGGCTCTTCAAAAAATTTAAAATTATTACAAAATTATTTTTTATTGTTTCCATAACTTTGAGTATCAACTATAAATTTGCTGAAATTGAAACCATTTAGATTGAAAGTTACAGAACTAATACCTAAAGCAATAAACTAGATACCTACTATAGACCAATCAGCAAAAAGAAATGTAAATAATGAAAATTGTTAAAACTAGCATATTGAAAGATTAAATTTTCTATATTTTTCATATTAAAAAAATAAAAAAAATATACCTGATTGAGTATTAATAATCACTATCGAATCAGATTCAATACTAACCAATTCTAAGTTCAATTCCTTACATAGTAATAACCCATCCCAAAGTGTTAGAACTTTAGCCTTAGAATTCGTATTCTCTTCGTAGTAATGCGCAAAACCTGTTACAAAAGAACTTGAAGAGTCACGAATTACCCTTCCTCTTGCGCAATATCCATCTCTAGCCGACCAATCAATTTTTAATTCCAGTTTACCAAGGGGAGGAGGTTTGCATTTGATCCATTTCCCCTTCAGAACTTTCGACTAAATTGGAGCAATGACTAGCTCCTGCATTTTCGTAATACCAACTACATTCATAGGTTTCTTTGGCACAAATATGCTACACATATCTCGTAGGTCTACGATAACTCTCCAAATAATTTCATCACCTCTCATCGATTCATCCTCATATTTTACTTTACAAGACTTTTTCGTAACTCCCATAGGACAAAATAGAAGGTGCCAACTTAACACATACCTGATTGAGTACTAAAAGAGGACAACCATGTTTGTGCACATTCTTCTGTTGAACTCCATAAAGTACGACACCCAAAGATGTTATCGAAGTGTGCCCAAACTTGCTTAGCAATATGAGATTCCATTAACAAGTTCACAAGTGTTTCTTCCCTATGATTCGAACAGCGTGGGCAAATTGATACTCCTTTATATGAGAGTCAACTAACAAAGCACCTATAAACCACTTCAAAATAAATACAGCCACCCTTGTTGGTATGTATGGATTTCAAATCCTTGTAGCCCACGACCATTCAAGGGAAGGATTTAGGATATAGTTCCAATAAGCTATAGTCTCAAAATCTTCTGATTTAGTCAGGGTACAAACCAATCTATCATCTACTAAATCATCAAATTGCACGTGCTTTACCTCATCACAGTACTAAATTGGAAAAAATGAAAGGAAATCAACTAGTTCATGGAAAGCTTTCCTGACCTTTAAAAAAAACGAAAGGAAATCAACTAGTTCCTGAAAAGCTTTCCTAACCTTTAACCTCTCATCCAAAGGTAGAGGAGGCTGTAGTATATTACCACACCAATTAACACCCCAGAAAGGAATTGCCCATTTTCCTATAATCCATTGACTAATCGAATGCAAAGACAACAAGTGAGGAGAAATGGTTTTCCAGATATGGGAGGATGTCATTAAAGTCTGCCCTTTTTCCCCATATCTCGCGCACAAAAATCGAGCCTAAAGGCTTGATCCTTGAATATAGGACCAAGCTAACTTTGCTTGTAATGTTGTCATAACTTGTCCTAAACTACGGACCACCAATCCTCCTTCTACTATAGGCCTACAGACCTACTGTTAAGAGACCCAATGATGTCAGTTTTCCCCTGAGGAACTCTAGAGAAAGTTAGTCATTTGCCTCTCAATTCTCTGAATTTTACCCCTAGGCATAGGAATAGCTGCTAGCACATGAATGGGTATACCACTGATCACTACCCGAAGTAATGTCATTCACGTGCCAAAGGACAACAAATTTGACTTCCATTCACTCATCTTCTGATTAATTTTTGTCTCTAAATGAAAGAAGTAAAGCTAGCGCACCCTTCTCTTGAAAAGAGGAACACCCAAATATTGCACAGGAAATTGAAAATGCCCACATCCTGCATACTACTTAATGAATGCTATTCTTTGTGCTGTCATTTTTTTAGGAATGTAGAATCCATTCTTAGCCACGTTAAGAAGATGCTTTGAACTTTCCTCATACTTAGCCAGCAAGCCCCTCATTTTTTTTTTTAATATCACTTTCTCATCCCCTCCTCCTTCACCGTCACAATCACTTCTATTATTTTTATTATCAACATATTTGATAAAATTATTTTTTAATTATTATTTTTATTTATCTTAAAAATAAGATATTAAAAATTTTAATTTCATTTGGGTTCTTTTTAGGTATTCCAAACATAGTAGTATGAGATACAAACATCATTTTTATTTCTTAATTTTATTTCAATTTCAACATTTTTATATCAAATCTTTCATTTTTAGTAATCAAATAACACTTTAAATTAATTAAAGGGTGGGTGTTTATCCATTTTTCCCCCAAATAACCCATCATTAATTTTGAGTAAATTATAAATTAGTCTATCTAGTATTGAAAAATAAATTAATTAGTCTTCTTTATTTAAAAAACTAATTACTTAATTTCATGATTAATGTTAATCATATTTAATTTAATATTATTTTATTCTAAAAGAGTCTTCTTTTCTTATCCATCTTTTAACAATATCTATTTTTTTTATTTTTTTTAGTTTTTTTTAAAAAAGAAAATTAAAAAAATTAAAAAAAAGAATATAAAATGAACAAAAAAAAGTCTAAAATGTTATGAAAAAAATGATAACAATAATATAATTTGAGAGAAAAATGATAGAAAAAATAATTCACCATAAAATTAAGTATAATACCCCAAAAACATTATTAAATAAGTTAAATATATTAAAGGTATATAAAAACTATTCCATGGGCATGGGATAATTGCTAAGGGGTTGTTAGAATATTTGGCACACTAAGAATAATTTTCTTGTGCCTAATAAATATTTTATTGATTTTTGGATGCATGAATAGTATCTTGCTATGCCAAATAATTATTTCAAATATGTTATTTATGCATGAAAATTATTTTGCTTGCATAGAATATTTTCTAAAGGGGTGTTAGAATATTCTATGCATTTGGATGAATTTTTCTATATTCGAGTGAATATTTTATTTGGCTTTCCGAGTGCATGAATAGTATTTTTTATGCAAATTAATTATTTTGAGTCTTTAAAATGTGCATGAAAATTATTCAATAGGCATATAAAAATTGTTAGAGATGTTTAGAAATATTCCATGCACTTAGATAAATTTTTATGTGCTTATGGAATTTTTCTCGTAGGAATAAATGTATTTTTATGCAAAATAATTAATTTAAGAGCCTAATATGTGTATAAAAACTATGTGAATGATGAATCTATTAATATAGAAAGTATTTGAATTTTTTATGAAAATAAATTAATTTTAAAAAATGTGTAGAATAAATTATGCATACATGAGGACCTAATTGCATAGAATTAGGGACCCAATTGCATAAAATTAAAAGTTTAAAATTTCAAATAAAATTATAAATAAACTTGAGGAAGTAAAAATTTGTTAGAAAAGCTTCAAAGAAAGGACCTAAATTGGTCAATTAAAATTTTAGAGGGGTTATGGAGGAGTAAAAATTAGATAAAGTT